TACAGACAAGTTGTCACAAAGCAGCTTTCTCTATGAGTTATCCAAATTCAGTAGCTGCAGGAAATAACTTACGTTTATCTGAGCCTGCTACTTCACAGGTCTGAATTGCAATGTACCCTGTCTTAGGTTTTGTTTCTGGGTTTTTTTGAACACTTGTTCATTGCTGTAAAATAATTTCTGCCTCATGCCGCTTCCTTTCTGATGTTCAGACCAAGTTGTCCTAAAGTTGATTGAGCATCATTATTGTAGGTACAGTTGCACTTAGAATTACGTAATATTTCATCAGGGGATGAAGCATTGAATACCTCTTACAGAAGTTAATGGAACAAAAATATTTAATTGAATTGTAACTTGGAGAATCCAGCAGAAAAGATGCTGCATCATTAAGGTTATAAACAGAATGCTGCTTCCAGCCACCTTTATAAAACAGGCTGCTAAGTGCACTGTTATTCCTGGACCTACTCCTAAAGCTTTGCAGTGACTGAAATAGGCCAGCCCAGTACATGCTGCTTTGTTATGAGTCCGTATGGAGTAATTTTGGTTGAGAAGCTAGCTCCTAAAGTAGCTGTAAGGCGGTCCCCCCTTCAGTAATGCTAAACCAGCTGTTTTGCCTCCCAGCTGAATGCGTGGGGACGAGGACCATCATCATAAGAATAATACCTGCTGCATCTGGCTCACTACAGCTCCTGCTGGGAGAAGTAATAAAATGTACATTTCTCTGTGCCAGCAAGAGCTGCCACAGTACAAGGAGGATTCACTTCCATGTTCAGATTTTCTAGTTGTAATTTTCCTCCCTCACTCTTCTTCTGTTTTTTGAGTAATGTGGGAGAGAAACTTTAAATTATGGTGTCTGAGGAGACTACCTGCAGAAGCTGAAAAAGTCTGCGATGTATACTCCATGCTTTCAGGAGTATTTCTTGATGGGAATGGTGCATTCTCTGCACCTCAGGAAAGAGAAAACAAAGCCGAGGATGTCTAACTCCGCAGCGCAAATGAGAGCTGTGTGAACAAACCCCTGTCTGCAGCACGCTTTTACCCGATGAACGTTCAGCGTACAGACACTGACAATCTTGGTAGAAATCGCTGTGGGGGAAAATTATCTGAAACATTACCATTTACCTTACAGCTGCAGCTTTGCCTCTTGAAACATTGACATTTCACATGTAATTTAATCTCTATTATTAATGAATTGTGGAAACTCTTCTCCCTAGGCACTAGACCATCAGACTGTGTATGGAGTCTGTCAGCAAATAATATTACTAAGCACCCATGTAGTCTTTTAGACACTCCAAACAGCAATAGCTGTACATACAAAAATAGATATGTAGTGCTCTCTCAAATTAGTAACATATAGTAACTGTCTAGATACTGTCCTGGGCAACTGGCTCTCGGTGGCCCTGCTTGAGCAGGGTGATTGGACCAGTTCCCATCTCGAGGTCCCTGCTAACCTCAACCAGTCTGTGATACTGTGATATGTTAATTGTCTTTCTTCAACTCATTCGTATTACACAATGATGTCTTTTGAAATGATTCATCTGTCATGGTCAACAAAGGTCACTGTTTGAAAGGACTTCTTTAGTAAATACCCTAAAGGAGCTTTTCAAATACTTGTAATTAAATTATGCACCTTTGTCTTCTTCCGTACTGATATTTTGTCCAAATAAGGAAATCTACAGAAGATCTTATAAGGATATCTTAAGGATGACATTGTTAGTTTCAGGAGAATTGCTGTATGTTAAAAATGTAATCAGATGTACAGATGATAGTAGGCACTGAAAGGCAAGATTTTATGAAACCATTTCAATTACTTTTCATGTACAATGGATTGAACAAGAAGCTATATTCCACTCTGGGAGGATTTAAATGCCACCTTATTTTGTTTGAGAACAAAGAGATTTTCAGTTTATGTGTACATAGGAGAGGCAGCAGAATGGATTCGTTGTACACAAATCATGGCTAAGGTGGTGCTGAGAACAGCGTAGATAAAGGGGTTAGTGTGGCTACAGGCAAACAACAATTATGTTCGGACCTCAGTGGGCTTTTTGTGCATTGCTAGAATGAGCAATGATTAGATCTAAACCCTACAGAGAGTTTAAGGGGCTTGATGGAGCAGGTATGGTTAATCTGTGTTGGTTGTTTAACTGACTTAAGAAGAAGAAAGTTATTTAGATGTATGTTTTATCCTTCTTAAACTCAAATTACATTAAACATTGTGTAACAATCAAATAGGAGAATTAGATTTACGAATGCCTCAAGCAGATATTCAAGACTGGTTGTATCTGTTGCTTATAGAGAGTGAGATTTGACATGCAAGATTTCTTTTCCTAAGACCAGTGCTATAGATACTGTGATCACTGATAACTCTGCAGAACACCATTTTGAATGTTGTCATTGAGAATTTACAAATGAACCCAAGGATGATATGACATTATTGATCATATTTTTCACAAGTTTCTGAGTTGGTTAATTCTTTTTTAACGTATTATTTTAGTCACACACTAGTGAGTTTGTTCTTTCACCAAAGTACAAATTAGTTGCCAGGATATTGGATAGTATGAAGCTTACCGGCTAGATACTGGTAGGATGCAGACAATGTGGAGTTATATGACATCAAACCTAGCAAATAATCACATGACTATATCATTATCAGCTCACCTTTGTGATATTCTACCTTAGTAATGAATATTTTAAAGAACTTCTTAGTAACTGTTCCCATATCTGAAATAGTGACCTGTTTTCGAAACAATTTAATGTCATAATAGTTCAATAATCAAATACATGCTTTTAGACATTACAGCCATCCACAGCATTTGCAGCTGTGCAAGCAAAACCAGTATGTACAATCTGCTCTCATGCTTTAAGACGAAGGAGAACCTGCAGATATCAAGAAAATACAGCAGAGGTTCAATACAGTGTGGATTTTGAAGTAACAAGTATTTAATGATTCATTACTACAATTGCACAGTGTTCTTATATAATGTAGTCATTTTTCTTCTATAAGAATATGTCCTACACCATAATACACTAAACGTTGAACTGATCTATGCAGGATAATGCTGAGTATGTAGAGTCAACCCATTTTTATGATGACACCATCCAGTACAAAGAGAGAACAAACCGGAGATCCTTTAGAGGCTATAAAAGAGCTTTCTTTTTCCATATTTTTAAAATTAAGGGCAAAATCTTGGCCTCTACTGGGGTCAATGTCAATTTTGCCAATGGAAACAAGATTTCATTTCAAATGGAGAAAGCAGGAAACTTTTCAGCCTGCTCCCCTTGTCTCAGTTTTCTTCACTGGCCCAAGTTTTTTCTGATATAAGTCCTAGAATGACTTATGTGCTGACAATAGTCAAGACAAATAATCCTTTTGCTGTACTTTGAAAGTGTTTAGCATATTTTAGATCTCTAAAATTGCATTTGTTATCTCCTTTCCTTTTTTGCCTTTCCCTTGTGTATGATATCCCTCAAAAAAGGTTTGGGTATCAGTCATTCCAAACATTTTACTACTCAAGAGTGTTTGATTACCACTATGTCTGTCCACTGAGATCAGAAATGAGCCACACATCTTAATTCCGTTTGGATCTTCGTAGCAGTATGTTCATCAATGTGCAAGTTTTATAATAACGGGCTCAGTGGGGAAAGAGATGTCATTATGATACTGCATAACAAGTCATCAGGACAGGGAGATGGGGAAGGTTTACCTATCAGTGGGACAAGCCATTGTTTATAGGTCAATTAAGTACGGGATCTGACACCTTCTCTGCTAAAGTAACATTTATATCACCAAAGAGGGAAGTTTAGGCACTCCTGCTGCTAAAGTATCACCAAGTCACTGAAAGGTAGATATATTTTGGAAAGTACGACTGAATCTGCACTCCTCAAGGACCCTAAGAAAGAGATTGCTGTAAAATCTAACATACTTTACCAGCAAAGGTTCTCTCTGAGGAATGCAACCTGAGACATAAAGAATATGAAAAGACAAAATTCCTGATGAAGCAGGTCAAGAAAATGCCCAGAGTAAATCAGTGGCATATAGGAACATTTTTTTAGGTTTGGTGGTTTTCTAAGAAAATTAAATAAAATGTTTTGTTTGTTTGCATTCACCTTTGTCTTTCAAAAAAAAATTCCATATGTTATATAGAAATATTTTTATTTTTTAGGTTTGTTTGCAAAATAACTGGCTAGTATCAATGCAGGTTTTGATATTTTTCATCTAAGAGTGTGACAGAACTAGAAATCAAAGGCAGAGTGAGAGAACCTTTTCCTTTCTCCTTACTGAAAATGTTTAAAAGGGAGAGTTAAGGACCAGAGAAGGTGGGCCAAGAGTGTATACCAGCAAAAAACAACAGACAGAAAGTTGTACATATTGACAATGTTGATTTTATGCCATTTATGTGAATATACAATTCCATTTTAAAGGATAATCTTGCCCATTGTCCCTGTCTGACCTACCAGACTGCTGGCCCTTTTCACCCTTCCTAGCTATGGCTGATGGAAACCAGTACTGTGACCTTTCTCCAAAATTTAGTTTTCACTTCCATTCTTCAGCATCTGTATACTGAGCAACTTACGTATTTTTTAACATCAGTCTCCTAAATCTTAGTTCATAGGAAAGTTCAGAGAACAAAGAAGCCATTGTTGGAAGCTAAGACACCACTCAAATCAGTTCAGATCGTTTGCATTCAAATCAGTTGCCTGGAGACACTAATTTTTGCTAACTGTCTTGGTTTTGGGAAGTGACATGCTAGAGATGGGAAGGGAGTTGTGTTGGAAGATGCACAGTTAAGTTTGCAAAGCATCATGAGAAACACAGATTGATGTTGTCTGTAAACCCAAGCATGCACAAGTTTAGCAGACACTTGACTATGTCATTGCATGAATACAGCATTAATGAAACATAATCTTATGAGGGAAAGGGACTGTCCTGTCTGGGTTAATATAAAGTCATTGTTTTGCTTCTATAATTAATTGCACTTTATTTTCATGAACATTTTAGGTGTATCAATACATGCATGAAACCATAACTGTTAATGGCTGCCCCGAATTCCGAGCCAGGGCCACTGCAAAGGTAGGATATGTGCAACTGTTGAAATACGTGTTACCAAAGTGACCTAGTAATTGACTGTGCGCGTGTGTGTTTCAGGTATTCGTGTGTACACTGTAAGAAAATTTAGACATCAGTGGCAGCCCAGAGTCTAGAACCAGTGCTACTTCCCAGGTAACAATCATAATGGAAAATTTCAACCTTTATGCTGCTTCTGTAGCTTAAGAAAAGAGAATGATTTTATGGAATTTGATGCTTTTTGAAAAGTTGCTTTGCAAAAGCAAATCTACTGGTTCATTCTGTAGAAGTCTGCCTGCAACGACCAATATTTTAATGGACTGTTTTCCCATACAGCTCATGCAGAGAGGACACAATGATTTGGGAGATAGAAACTAAACAGTCAAAATTCCGCTTCTAACTAATGGGAACTATAGGGACCCAGCAAGTGGTAAGGATGAACAGTGATAAAAAAATGGCCTGATCAAGAGACTCCACAGGCAAATGCAAGCCCATATTTTCTAATGCATTAATCAAATATATCGCCTCTTTGTCCATGTGGGCCTGTCTTTCTCATATCCTTAGACTATGACAGCTACATTGCTGCTACTACTAATGATGATTTTCTAAGGGAATTCACACAGCCATGAAAGAACCCATTCTGTGTGCCAGTATGAAATATGCTCTGTATTTGCATAACATGCACAAAGATAGATGCTTCCAGACAGGGAGATCCACCATGGCTTTCTCTTTCCCATTATAATTTTGTACTCAACACTATCTTCTGGGTGGTATAGCAGATACTATGCAAAACAGGTAAACCTGCAAAAGCCATAAATTTTTTTTAGAGATGTTTCTTTGTGGTCCCACTCCTGTGAAGTTAGTGACAAAACTCCCTGAAATCCTAATGGAAATAAGATCTTACCAGTATGTATTTATGAAGGTTGAGAGTGTGTTACAAAATGATTTCTACAGTATTTTAGAGAAGCAAGCTGTACAGTAGCCAGCAAATAACCTAATATACACTAAATTGCAGTGTCTTTTCCTTACTAAGTAGAACATTCTTTTCTGTAGGCTGTTCTTGTGATTTTAACCTTCTTCTAATTGAAAGTTAATGGTCAATGTAAATTTGTAAGGTCTATGGTTCTATATAGAGAAATGTGTATATGAAATCCTGATTTGTCTACACTGCAGGTAAACATAGAAATTATTGCTGTGTTGTATAGTAAATGGGGAGAAAACCAATTAGTGTTTGCCATTCTCATTTCTTATTCATATAGAACAGCAGGGTTACAGAGCAATGTTTCAATATCGCAATATTTCCTGGTTATTTCTGGGCTGTCTGCATTGCATTCTCCTAGTGCATTCATGTCTGACATAGAATGTATGCATGATGACAAGGTCTGCATGTGCAAAAACATGTAACTGAGAATGATCCATTATGTCACATCATCCACTAGCTTCTAATAAGCATCAGCATTATTAGGATGCTCCAAAAACGTTAGCGTAATGCAGAATTGTTTGAGCAGTTTGGACTACAAACACACATTGAGAAGGATAAAAGATTTTCTTAATGTTTATTTAATGATTTACTAAGATCTATAATTAGGAAAATAGTTGTAGTGAAAAATGAGTATAAGATGTAATATTTTCCTGGATGCAAGCTTTACAGTTTGTTACCTGTTTTTTTTTTTGCTAGAGTAAGATTAACAATCTAGGATTTTTCTAATTGATTTATAAATCCATTTCTTAAGATTTAATTTTTCAATAAAAGTTTTGATCCAATTATATTATAAAAACTCATATTCCTGTTTCAGGAGTTATCTAGTTTGCAAGATTGGATAAAGATTATAAATTAAACTTTTTAAAATAAGAATATAATTTTAGGATTTTTTTCTGTGCCCAAAGAATAAAATAAATACATCTGTACCTCTGAAAGCAGAGCAGAGAGTTAACAGTTCAGTTCATCCACTTTATTTCAACGAGGAGCACAGTACAAATCGTATTATTTTATCTCACAGTAGTAAGTTTTCTCCCTGTGAAAAGGCAAAGAAGAAATGCACTAGTGATCATGACTGTTCACCACCGCGCAGTCAGGCTTTCCAGTGCCTACTTCTGGCTCTGCTGCTAACTTTCTGCGTTATCTTTGACAAGTGACCTAAACTCTCTATTCCTCTGCTTATTCCTTTATTTCAAAAGCATTGGCATGGAGCTTAATATTTTTCAAATGCTTTCAGATAATCAGAAAAAGTCAGAGTAAGATAGTGAAATGTATTCACAGGAATGAATTCTTCCTGCAAATGAACAACAGAGTGTATATCAGTGTTCTCCCTACATAGCCAAATCGCTCTTTTTTTTCTTCCAGGCAACAGTTGCTGCTTTTGCAGCAAGCGAAGGCCATTCACACCCGCGAGTGGTGGAGCTGCCAAAAACTGATGAAGGCCTGGGCTTTAATGTCATGGGAGGAAAGGAACAAAATTCACCTATTTATATTTCTCGCATCATTCCTGGAGGAGTGGCAGAAAGGCATGGAGGGCTCAAACGGGGGGACCAGCTGCTTTCAGTTAACGGAGTGGTATGTGGAAATTTGATAGAGCTTTCATTTTCATCTGGATTTTCATTTTTTACAGCTGTTCTAATACTGTGATTTAAAATGCAGCCACATGAAACAAAATGAATTAGCTCTGTGAGAGACCTTCAGTGTGCATTTGTGGTGCAGTGAGGCAAAGCTGCATCGACAACTTTGTGCCACTACAATTTCTGTTGTAATGGAGGGTGCTTGAAGAGCTTCATTTCAAATCCACACCGCATGCTTAATTTCCAAGGAAGTTATGTCCTTCTTAATTGATAATTCTGCAAATTCGTTTTGCAGAAAAGCGCAGTAACAGACTTTGTCATTCTTGCACTTCATAGCCTCTGAGGCACACGGCCCTTTCTAAGCACAGTGATGCCTCAGTGGCACATGTGTAGTCTTGTGACCTTCAGAGCCTTTGAACATATAAAACCAAAATAAATTTGAGTAAGCGCATTTGGTGCTGATTTGCAATGGAAGGTATATTCCAGATTTCTTTCAGTGGCATTCATTCTAGCTATGATATCTTTGTCAGAGGAATCAGCTGTACAAATGTACACATACAGGGAGCATATATTCTTCATAAAAAGTTACATTTTTTACATTGTCATTTTTCATATTAGTCAATACTTCAGGGTGGAGTGTTTTGCAGTAGTTTCACTGTGAATGTCAATATAGAGGTAAAAATAGAAGGACTGTTGGAATAGAGAGGAAAAATAAGGCTCCGACTACATTATATGGGTCAAATTCTGCCTTTCATTTTGCTTTTTCTTCCGTTTTACAACGGAATGTAAAGTACTGAAAAGGTAAGCATACTCATTCGTATAACCCTACACTTAATGAAAACATAATCCTTTTTCATGAAAAACCTCCATCTAAACCTAGCGTTCAAATGCACCAAAGGCACATAGGAGCAATTCCTGAATCCAGTCAGAAATATAAGACTTTCCAACTTAAATTTCTTCTTTGTTGTAAGCCCATAAAGAATGAAAAAAAAGCTATCTTCTACATGCTTTCATGTTCTCATCTGTTTCTCTTAACAATAGCTATTCCCTTTCTCTTGAAACAAAATATTAGTGCAACATTTCAGACAGACTTTTTACCACTTGTTCTATGAACCATCATGTTCTCAAAAGAGAAATAATAGGTCTGGAAGCTTGCTTGCCCCAGTACACAATGAGAAAGAAAAGACACAAAACAAAAAAAAGAAAACCCACTGAAAAGATTATTTAGTCTCAGGGAAAAATAAATCAACTGAACATTTAATAAAGTAAATTGCCTGACCTTCACTGATTGGAAGTAGATCAAATAATTTTGTGTTGTTGTTCAGCACTTCTTTCAACAGGTGAATAAAAAGGCGGATAAAAAGAGTTTCTGTTCACTAACTGATAGATGGTTCTTGAAAGATCCTTTTACTGTCAACAGCATCTAACCAAATACCAAGGAGGAACCTTCAGATGTCAAGATGTATTGAATTTGACTCTGTTGTCACCTCTATTTCATGATACTCTGTTCAAAAAATCTCATGAATGTGCTCTAGAATATACATTAAGCTAATGTAGCAAAAAACCACAATATAAAATTCCCAGTTGCACACAGGCACACGAGAAAGTTGATTCAGAGATGCAACAGAAATATTTTTGTGTTCAGAGTTTAAACAAAAGAATTTGAAGTTTGAATTGCAGTTGCACGCTTGAAATAAGGCTGATGAGCCACTGTTCATAAACTAGTCTTGGGCTGAATTAAGCCCATACAATATAATTCGTAAAGAGGAAAAAATTATAGAAGTGGTAGTTTGTTTGCAGACGGTTTGAGACAGGAGGAAAAAGGTCTAAATTTAACATTGTTCGCTGGGACTAGTTCACTCTGTGCTTCTCTTAATTTAGCTGGAGAAAAGCAAATAATATACAGTATGTACAATACAACAGACGGCTCAGCAGTGGAACATGAAATGAAAATGAAATATCTGTAACTTGTTTGTGCTCAGCAGTTGGTGGTTATCCAACTTTATAATTATCAACATAAAATTAGAGCTATCTGTTCAGAATCCAGATTCGTTATCCCTGCATGACTGGGATGACTGTTCCTTGAGCTGTTTCACCGGATGTTAAAAAAAGTATTTTCTTATTATGCTGGGGATTTTGTTACATACTTTTGTCCCATACCCCCTAAAAGTAAAGGAAATTGAAAGCAGTAAGCCCTGCAGATGGCTCACCAAATGCACTTGTCGGTGGTTGTTCATATCTGGCAAAGATTCTGCATTTGTCAGATACCTGGTGTGAGTCAGGTACAGAAAGGGATGCAAAATAGGTTTATAACGGCTAATTTGTCACCCAAGCATTTGTTTACAGATACGTAACAGAAATATTCTCCTCAGTTTCACAGCTTGTGGAGTAACAGTCAGATTCTCTTTTTTGTCTGCAAGAGAGTGGGATTTTTTTCTTTTATATTTATGACAAGTCTGCGAACCTGGATGCAGTAACGATTGGCATTTCCCTGCACCATATATGCAGTTCTTTCAGCTCTTCTTATCTCTACAGTATTTTGTGTCCTTTTTTGATGCAATCTGCCAATGCAATAATGGAAATAAAGACATAAGTATATATAAATATATGTAATCAAAAATTACATAGTAAAGATACACATTCCAAAACAAGTGTATTAAATCCCATGTTTGGTGGGCGGTTCTAAAGTAACATGAGTGTCAGATCCTCACAATGTCCCCAGCCAGCATAATCCAGTCAGCAAAACCCCTTGTACAGGCATGACCGATACCAGCAGGAGTCCTTTGCCAGCACAGCCTCAGAGCTTTGCAGAGGCAGAAGAATTCAAACAGCAAAACAACTTTCGTTTGCTGGTGTAAGCTCTTTTCCCTACTCCAAGGGGCTCCACTCTTCAGTTGTGCAGCTACTGCTATGCAGGTTCCAAGGTGTACTCCTTGGAAATATGAGTGCAAGCAGCAGTGAAGAAGTTAAGAGCAAGTATAGTAATCGTATTAGTAGCAGCTGAAAATTGTAGTTGTTAAGACCTGAGCTAGGTGCATTTGGAGAGTAGGATTCGTATTTAGCAGCACTATCTTTTACTTTGCCTTTGTTATTTTCCCCTCTTTGGTTGTGGTTCAGAGCTTTAGGCTTAATTCTGTATCATTACTATTCAAGTCAATGGGAGTTTTCCATTGACCTGGATAGCAACAAAGTCAAGCCCTTCATTTCCAATTAGAAAATACTGACTGTAAACTGGAAGAACAAGGCCAGAGGCAAATGGGAAAGAAAACAGGCAATCATTAATTAAATGCAGTTTACTAAGCTGTATGAAGTATTGAAGTACACCATCTTGTTATTCCCCTGCAGAACAGATAGAATCATAATTCCTTATCAATGTCAGTTAGAACCATCCAACTCTTTGAAAGCAAATGAATATTTTAGCTACTCCATGTAGTTTGGGAGATTACAATTTTTGTTCCTAGCCTGTTCTAAGTTCGTACTGTTGCACAGCAAAACTGATCACGACAACACTGAATACACTGCTGTTTCCTCTGAATGTCCATGCCACGTCATATTGACCAGGATTCACGAGCAAAAAAATGTAATGTAAAACAATGCCAAATTTTATACAGTTCCTCTTAAGGTGAGAACTGTGTTTAAAAAAGCCAGTATCAAAGCCAGTCACAAAGCAAAGAGTTATAAGATAGCTGGTTACAGTGTGTGTTAGTTATGATCGCCTCTTCTAACATTGAGTGGTTATGGGGTAGGAGGCATGGGGAAGAGGTTTTAATTTGTATCTGTGACTTGTTCGTTAAAGCAGTTTCAAAACACCCTGTGCATCTATAGCTTTTTATTTTAGCTCTCTTTGGAGCATTAGACACATTCACTGTTTCTTATGCAACTACAATTTCCTCTTTTTCAAATATTTGTAAGGAAACTCTTTTTTCTCCAAATTACTTTTGGGCAGCAGTGCTTGTTCAGCAGATTTATCCCAATCACAAGTTCTAACAAACCTGGTCATCACAGATCATGAATTTTCTTGAAGATATTTGACTAGGAGACCTACTGGAGGAATTTCATGAACATTCAGTTCAAAAACACAAAGTCGTTTGTTTCAACAGTCAAATGTATATTTACTTCAGGTTTTCTGTTTCTAGTAATCATTTCAGCAATGGAAATTACATTCATTATTTCTCTAAGATGCATTAATATCTTCGAAGCATCGTAACATTTGTGTTGAAACTCTTTGAGTCCAGTCAGTTGACCCAGACATGAAATAATTGTTTGTATTAATATGTTGAGGATATTTAACAGGAGAAGGAAGATAAATAGCAAGGCAATACGCTTGAATTGTGTTGGTTTTATTATTTATGTAGAAGTGTATTGTGTCTGCTTTTTGAGACATTTAAATCATTATTTCTAGCTCATAGTGTGCCACAGCAGAGTAATTCTTATTCACTGTTCTTGCACAATGCTACTCAGTCAAATATCAGAGATGAAATAGAAGGAATTTTCTTCTGACAGTTGCTATAATGATGCTAAGTTATTCTTTTAGCATGAATTGAACTTCAAATATTTTGAAGGCTGCTGCTTCTCTTTGGAAGCCTATGGGTATAGTTTCATTTTAAATAGCATGGTATACAGAAGAGTTTTAAAACACAGTGTGTAGTAAAACTTTGATTTATTTTATGTGGGAAGAAAATTACTTATTTTTAAATGATCTAAAATCCATGTGAAAATCTCAGTTGTGTGGGCTTTTTTTTTCTGTACGAGATACTTTTGTTTGTTGGAATATATCCTGCAACACACATGGGCAATCATACACCATTAGAAAATTTCTTCCTTTCTCTTAAGGTATGGAACAATCCACATGCCTGAAGAGCACGCCAGTCAGCCTGCTTAATAGTAGAAATTAAATACTCTTTTCACAGCTGAGTCACCTCCCCTTTTAGAAATTTACTGTTTCAAACAATGTTAGCATAGAAATCAGAGCTTGATCCCCTTTGGGAATACTTTTGATTTCACAGCAGATATCAACTTGCTGTAAAACATTTTCCAGAAACGGAGGGAAAATATATATTCCTTCAGCAAGAACTTGCAATGTTTCAGTTGTTAGTGTTTGATTGCTTAGAACTAACCAGATAAAGACTAGTTTATTTCCAGTAGAGAACCCCTATCACCTCAATGTTAAACCTGTGAGCAATGCCGTTAAGTCTCTAAGACGCGGTTGTCCCCAGGAGCAGCGGGCATGCTCCTTTGCCGGGAGCTCAGCGACTGTTTAATCACCACATGCCGTTCCGTGCGGGATCCAAACAGGACCAGGGTGTAAGAAAGGAATTGCCATTTGAAACTTGCAATTTCTTCATTTCTTACCAACATTTAAATAGGATTTTGGTTTTGTACCTTGCAAACAGTTTGTTTGGGTTTTTACTGCAGGGTTTGCGGGTTTTATAACATTATTTTTGTTTGCATAAAGCTTGTTGAGTATATCCTGTCCTTTTCACACAGATCAGAAATTAGGTTTGTAATGCAACCTAAACCAGATTTGGGTTATTTAAAATACGAAAATGAATACATTCCCAGCAGTGCATAAATCTTACTTAACTCAACACTTTTCCTTATTAGTCCCTTGAAAAATGTAAAGTATGGAAACTTCCTAAAACCCCGACAGCCTTTCCATGTGAAAGAGAGGACAGAGCTGTAGATCAAAGGAGCATTTTCATTATTAAATCTGTTCTCCCTGCTCCCAGAGCGTGGAAGGAGAACACCACGAGAAGGCGGTGGAGCTGCTGAAGGCGGCTAAGGACAGCGTCAAGCTGGTGGTACGCTACACTCCCAAGGTGCTGGAGGAGATGGAGGCTCGCTTCGAAAAACTGAGAACAGCCCGGCGCCGGCAACAGCAGCAACTGCTCATTCAGCAGCAGCAACAGCAGCAAACTACACAGCAAAACCATATGTCGTAGGTGAGAGGATTCATTGGCCTTCCCAAAAGCCCACTGATGGCACCCTGCCTGGGCCAGCAGCTCCCGGGGGTCCAGGGCTCCGTCAGGAGCGGGGTAGCCAAGGGGCACCGGGGCAGCCCCATCCCCGGGCATCAGGCACCTCCCTGGGCACAGGGACCGGCCAAGGCTGGGCTGGGATGCAGGCCCACGGGTGGGCTGTGGGGAGCTGGAGACCGGCCCTGCTGCGGCATCGCTGGGGCAGGGGCTGATGGCCCTGAGGAGCTGACATGGGGCCCTGGGCCGTGGGCAGGGTGGGGGGAGCCCTGAGGAGGGACAGTCAGGGGGCTGGAAGTACCCTCAGGGCCCCAGCAAGTACTTACTGTGGTGAGCATGAGGAGAGCTCTTTCTTCAGTACATTTCCATATGGTCTGTCCCGGTAAAAAATGCATTTTGAAAATAGGTGAAAGGCCCTAACAAGTTCTGAAGCTAATTTCCAACTAATAACCCTGAGATCAATAGCCACTGTGCAGCTCTGGCTTATCTGCAAGCAAGACTGCATAAGAAGTCTGTAGTTCATGGGAACATTTTTTAATTAAAAAATGGAGTATTTATGACAAGTAAGAATATGCTGCCAGATTTAGACACAGTTTAATGTATTTTGAGATAGTCTGTTACTACTCTGCAACAGAACATCAAGATTTGCTGCTGGTATGTGAAGAAAAGTCTTCCTAGTCCCTTCCCTGCTACAGAGAACCCAAACTACACTGTGGTTACTCTGCAGGAAGCCTACAAGTGCTTACTTCTCATCTCCCATTTGGTAGGAAGTACTTCATTCACTCCTGACTGACATGCAATATTACAGTAGCTTCCGAGAGGCTTGCAAGTTTCCCAGCACAGTCAAAACACGTGGCATGTGAGGTACAGAGATTCTCCATATATGCAATTCTTCTGAAATCAGTGAGAGTTTGTGACATGAATACATTTATAGATATGCTCTGTTTGTCCCAAAAGAAATCAAGTAGGAAACATGTCCCAAGGACTTACATCCCAGTCCTCCACATGTCACACCAGGTGTTCCCAAAGCAGGGTGTTGTACCAGTAGGAGTCTACAAGTGACTCACAAAGTCCCCAAATGGTCAGGAACTGAAGCTCCCAGTGATGGTTTCATCATTCTTATTGTTGACACTGACCTTTGTTGATATTTAGGGGAAGACACCCACCTTGTAGACCCCTGTCCTGTGACCACGAGAATTCCAGCTTTGTTGATGCAAACAAAAGCTCTGAGTGGGATCTGAATCCCACATCAGAGCCTCAACTCAGGCAGGAGGTATAAACAGTAGTATTTCGTGAAGTAAGTTTTGGGTTTCTATGGAAAATAGAGCCATTGCAGGAGACGAACATACAACCAGCATGGTCTCACGTGAAGTTTTTCATGTTTTTTCAGTTACCTAAATCTTTTCATTAGCAAGTAAGGTATTTTTACTGATTTTAAAATTTTCTTTAAACTGACAAGGAACAAAGGCAGGCAGAGACAGCCATCAACTTAATTCCTTAATTTCTTATGCTTGCTCTGAGAAATGTGTTTCTTTAATTCTAGGTTATTCTCAAGAAAAAGCAAGCCTCGATCAAGAGTTCAGTAATCAAGCAACCAGAGCTGTACTTCAGTATTCCAGCAAAAGGAAACAACTAGAGGAACAGGAAACAGAATTCATCTGGAGAATGTGCGGTAGAAGAATAATGTAGTTAAGACAGCCACAGGGAGGGTACCTTCATGATAAGGCTTTTCAGCACACAGCAGTCACAGGTACATAGTACTTTTGTGACTCTGTTCCTAATGAGAGCAGCATGATAGGTAAACCCTATGGAACAGAGAAGTCCAGGGCTTCCAAATAATTCTGTTTGATCTGATCTTGCACTTCTTACTCTGACAAATTGGCCAGCTGGCTTTCTCTAGTCACTGAAAGTTTTGTTTTAAGGAGATCAAGATTGGCTGCTTTTGGGGACAGAATCTTTCTCTACAGTTATCTCCAGAAATGAACAACTACATCAGTTCAAAATTTTGCCACAGACATCAAACTCATACAACACGCTTCATAGCCACTTTGTACTATATATTGTAGAGCTGTTTTAACCTAACTTCCTGTTTATAATTTTCAATTTTCCCTCTGGAAATAGCAATTTACTATATTTATAAAGTATTCCATTTGTAGAAGCAATTGGCTTTTTACTCTTGGTGTTTCCATATATTTTATTATGCATCAACAGAGTGAGAAAGTTTTAGGTGAATTTTAATTTTATTAGTAGTAAAGTTAGGGACTCCTAGAACTGTATTTTTAAACGTAGGTATTGCTTGTATCTATTATAGTTACTATTCAGAAATCTATAACTGGATATATTATATATTTATTCCATAAAATATATATTGTCTGAATGTACCTGTTACAGAAGTAGGGTCTTTGCTTAGCATGTATTGCAAATGTAGTAAGCTAATGTTAGCAAAAGACCAAGCTTTGTTTGGCAGATATTACTGTGATAGCATAATCTTGGCTTTTCTGTATTCTTTAATTTATTTTCCAGTCTAATGTTAATATATTTTAGAGAGGATGAAGTGTAAATTGTTTCTTTTAAGACTCACATATTATCATTCAAATCAATTTGAACTTAGAATTCTGACTTACTTTTTTTATCAAACCAAATCGGAATGTGCAAACAAAATATATAACTAAGTTCTTAAGTTTACATGTCTGCTTTTCCAAAGAAAATAGTCAAAGCTGGAAGGCTATAAATGTCATCTGCTTTCAAGAAAATACAAAAATGGAACCCCCAAATTCTAAAAAATAATAATTTTCAGCACGCCTTCTATGCTTCATGAGAAAAGACTGGGGGAGAAATGGAGCTTAGGGGAGAACCCTACAGTCCTTGCATGATGAAAACTCCAGCTGATGTCAGTGAAAGTTTAGTAACGTGAGGAATGTAGAAATGGTCTGAAGCAGTGTTCTGGTTATGAACTTGGAACAAAGTCAGAAACAATTCATATTTTGAAGGATCTATTCTCAAACAGAGAGGCAAAGCAAAACAGGGGAAATCGGCAATATCGTAGCATATGTTAGAAACCAAATGCAGGCTAGCCAGCAGTCTTGACAGTGTTTGATTAGTGTAAGTAGCCATTGAAAGAAAATTATTGTATTTTTAAAACCAAACAGTGTGGATTCACCCAGAAAAGCCTCATTTTATACAGAGAAGTAATTCTATCCAGTGGTCGTTGGTGACAATATCAATTAAGACAGTGGAGTTTGAGAACTACCAGAATTAAAGATGAAATATATTGTATTGTGCTCTGCACGGTGTCTTTTTATACTTAATAAAATTGTATGTACCTATTTTAAAACTGTATTCTCAAACAGACACTGCTATTAATATTGACAGCATATAAATTGTTATTATGACTGCATATTACTCTCCTGTGTCTCATCGGTATGATTTGAATTACACTGATAGCTGCATTTTCAGAGACCAAGTATTCACATTTAGTCAACCCACTGTACTGCATTTTTCCAAACTGCCTCTCCACCTCTTCCCCTCCTCTTCCTCAAAATACTTGGATTTGATGGAGTGGAATGTGCTGATTAATAGATTTTGATAATAGAATGTCATTCATATAGCAAAGCATATCAAATTCATTTTCATAGATTATTATTCAATAAATTATACACGCTAAAATTAACATTCTAGTCTTTGCCAACGTTTAACAATAAGATGAAAGAAAAATATAAGTAAAATACAACTGTCAATGAATTTGAAGTGGAAGCAGGAAGAAATAACTTTTTAAGCGTCAATTTTCATGTCCCTTACTGATCAACAAAACATCTAGCCACTTAATCGCAGAATAGTCTGTGTCCCTAAACCTATCATCTGCATTTACTTGGAGACAGTCTTTTAATTTGTGATTTAAATGTCGTTGGTCCTGATGCAGTAAGGCACTTCCACATGTGCACTGCTGAATTAGGACCCAAAAGAAGTGCAGGGAGGACAACACTTCCCACACGCAGGTCTGCAGGTACTTGTGCATCGTCTTTTAACCAACTGGTCTCCTGGCATTGGCTGTTTCACTGCACTGAATTGATATTCCTTTGGTCAACTCAGTGAGTTTTATTGCTCACATTTAGTCTTGGGGCTCCCTCCTGTTTCTCTGCACTGGCAGCAAACTGAGGTAGGAGATCCAAGAAGTCTCTTCTGTCTCTTTATTACAATAACCAAAGGGGTGCCATGGGATTTTTACAAGCTCTTGCATCATGTTCAATTATGCCGAAGATCCAGATGTAAGATCTAACAATAACAGAGATTCAGGGTTGGTAGCATTTACTTACTGAAGTTGATGGTCTACTGTGCTAGCCATGATTTTTCTGTTTGTGACATCTGCTCTGACTGGCACTTTATAGGGGCTTGAAGGATTTCGTAACTCTTGATAAAGTGAAAAGCTCACGAGCTTGCATTTTCCTCTTTTCCTTCTACAGTGACAAATCATAGATGAAAGGTCAATGGATGCCCATGAGTAGAAGAAATTAAATAAAAATATACCTGCAGTTCCCTGGTGAATAATACTGCAGACCTCTTAGTCCTATACATTGTACCTTTTGTATGTATTTATCACAGCCAAGCTTCCAATCTGACCTAGGAACCTTTGGGAACTCTTGCAGAAGGCACAAAATTATATGCCACATTTGCAGGAGAAGAAACTGTTTATTCATCTACTAACTTTAGGGATTGTAGAGTTCTAAATGAAATTAAGATCTCATGAGCAAACAAGGTTCCTAGAATAAAAAAATGCTAAACAAGAAGAAGGGTGGTTTTGCCTGTGTTTGAAATAATACACGATTTTAAGCATAATTTCAGAATTAAAAATTAATTCATTTAATTAATTAATTAAGAATTAAAAGCCTTATGAGGAGCAGCTGAGGGAGCTGGGGTTGTTTAGTCTGGAGAAGAGGAGGCTGAGGGGAGACCTGATTGCCCTCTACAACTACCTGAAAGGAGGTTGTAGTGAGGTGGGGGTTGGTCTCTTCTCCCCGGTAACTAGCGATAGGACAAGAGGAAACGGTCTCAAGTTGCGCCAGGGGAGGTTCAGGCTGGACATTAGAAAGAACTTCTTCACTGTTAGAGTCGTTAGGCATTGGAACGGGCTCCCCAGGGAGGTGGTGGAGTCACCATCCCTGGAGATGTTCAAAAAACATTTAGATGTGGTCCTTCAAGACGTGGTTTAGTGGACAGGGTGGCATCAGGTGTACGGTTGGACTTGATGATCTTTGAGGTCTCTTCCAACCATAATGATTCTATGATTCTATGATAATTTAAAATAGTTATTATGCTCATAGAAGATGTATTTTATTATAGGATGAGAGACTATTTCAGAAAGTAGCAATTCTTTCTGAATCTTTCTGAAAATGGGATAATAAAAGAAAACTAACCAAACAACCTCCTGATGCAGAACTGTGTCTAGAAGAACTAAGGGGATCCTTCCATATATAAACAGAGGAGTATCAGCTAGAAGTAGTACTGCCCATGCATAAGCATTAGCGGACCATTTCTGTATCCAGCATTCAAGAAAACAAAACAAGTTTCAAACCCAGAGAGTATTCTGGGTCAATTCGCAAGAATGTGCTGCCTGCTGCGATACATGTCTGGTGAGAACTACAGCCCATTATGCTTAGCCAGGAGAAGATCGGGACGAATTAGGGATGCGTTCAAACAGTCTTACAAGCAGACCCAAGCTCACCCTGCTTGGCCATGAAGCAAATGCAGTCTCAACTAGCAAAAAGATTTAGATACATGTTTGATGGATTCATTGTCTCTACCTTCAGCTGTCTAAAAGCAAGCTGCAAAGCTTACACTGATTGTTTCCACAGTCAACAGAGAGTTGTGAAGGCGATTCATTCCCCCTGTCTCTGCCATGTATCTTAAAACAGGATAAGGCGTCCTGTAAAAAGGTTTATAAGCAGAGCTGCTCACTAAACAGCCTAAACTACTAGCTTGAAGTAAGTAACATCTTTTGGGGTTTTTTCGTTGCTCTCCTCATACACAGCTTCCTAATAAATAAATAAATATCCAGCCCACAGTGTTTGAATTCCCTAGTGTAAAACCTCTGTGCACATAGCTCAGATGAGTAATAGGCCTTACACGTGATCTGGTTTGTAAGGAGGTTCCTGTCACTACAGATGTCTGTTCTCAAACTTTCTAAGAAATTTAAGAGCTCAGCACAGGTATTGTTAGCAAAATACTTCTGTTGTGGGATATACAGGAGCAGACTACGACAAGCTTGAGTCTGTGCATGCTTAAACAGCAGAAGTCCATACTGCCACCTGTAACACGGGGCTAGTGCGTGTGAATTTTACAATACCTGCAGCCAAAAAGATGAACAGTTGCTTGTGATTTTTGGTTACAAAGAGAGATGGACAAAAATGAAAGCCACCAAACTTCCAGCATAGGAATTTGTGATACCAACAGTCACGGCAAAACTTGACCAGTTCTGAAATCTAGAAGCCTGCAGCCATCTAGGATTAAGTAAAAAGATGACAAAAGCAGAAGATGTCTATAAGGAACAGCCAAAATCTAAGAGAAAAAAAAAATCCCATAGGGATTTAATGTCCGATCTGCTTTTAATTTACTTTCCTATAGTTAGTTTCACTTTTATCAACTCATCTGACCAAAAGGGAAGCACATGGTTCAGCAATTGCACTTACTTTTATCAAAACCATAAAGAGCTGATAGGGCAGATGAGTATCTCTTCCCTTCCTTCCTCTCTCTGAGGCTTGGATGAAGCTGAGCTCTGTCTGCAAAAAGGTGACACCAAAACACATCCCAGTGCTCCGGAGAGTTTCTTCGTTAGTCATATTACAGTTCCTCCCCATCAGCAGTTCTCAGTGTGTTTCCTCAAAGTGAGCGTGTTTTGTAGACCCACAAATTTGTATTTATTTCAAGGGCAACTCAGTGTTAAGCCTGAAGCTGTAAATCTTGCCCAGCCTTTTCATTTTGACATCCCAAACCAGAGCAACTATTGCACTTGCAATAACCCAGCTGGGAGCCTGGGATTAGCTTGTAAACTGGTCCAATTAAAAACTGT